ACAGTGGTGGGATTCACATCTATGCATGCAAAGCACTATGTATGTGTAGTACATAGTGATATTACCATATCACTTTAGGTAATATGTATGTATTACCTAATATGTATGTATTACCTAAAGTGTCAAAACATAATAATTTAGATTTAACGTTACATTCTTAATTTCTCCAGCCAAGATCCAGTAAATAGTTTTATGACAAAACAGAAATGGTAAAGAATGTCTCCAAAATACTCTGGTGTCATTCTGCTAGCTTCAACACTTTCAGCATCTTTGCTTAAGGTCTAATTCAAACCTCATTTTTAAATTCAACTAGACATAACTGTGTTATCAGCCTCTTTTTAAAACTGGCCTGTTATAATTTTTTTAATGTCCTGCACAGCTCACAATATGTTCCACTTTTATTCCTTTTTAACTTCAAGGCCAGATCATGTCTGGTTTTTTTCACTTGGTTAATCAGCTGGCTGACCACGTTCTATTGCTCACACAGACCAAAGCTGAGTAATAGGCCCAATATCCATTTTGTTGAGTTTGGCCAATATTTACCTTGTTGGCTGACAAAACCCTAAATGCAAATAGGATAATACAACAGATGACATTGGTTGAAACGTATCTTGTGTCATTTGCTGCTTATCCTACAAAATCTTGTTATAATTGTGTCAATATTAAAAAAATGTATTAAGCTTTTGTTCAATTTAAGCATTGCAAAGTCATAGAGCTTATCTGTGTTTATTAGAGAGAAATTACTTTCAAAACAGTTTTATGTCAATCCAGATGTATCCCAAATTGTAATTAATATACAAGTTTTTCTGATACCAGTACATTTATTCATTTGGGCATCGTTTATTAATGATTTGAATTATATTTTAGATATCGTTCATTGTCTGGCTTAAGTTGGGTTGGTTGCTGTCTTTGTCATTAACTTTGTCATATATTATCCTGTCCAGGATAAATACACATCTTCAAAGTCAAAAATTAAATCATTTTCAGTTTAACTTTTGGGGTTCACCATAAGTCTATGGAAGATTTAATTTGACATATGTGAACTGTATGCATTCAACAACTGAAACCAGACAACTAAATAACATAAATGGATAGATGGCGTAAAATGTATTGTTGGAACGATGGAAATATGCTCCAGTTTCTTCAGCTGCTATAGGAAGGAGTCCCCATTGTTGTTATCACTGCTCCCTATCAGCAACAATCTTTCCACTTTCCGCTGCATTTCAAACCTAATCGGTAATTTCCTCTGAAATCCATCTTTTGTCCTCTCATGTGACTTCCCTTTTTAAATCTCCTCACAGAAGTGCTTACTGCAAATCACAGTTAGTTGACATTAACTCCAATTTGCAAAGTTTCAATTTCCAAATGAAATTTTGCCTTTCCAGTAGGACAAGTCCCTTTCAAGCCAGAAAAATTCTGACATTTTTTTTCTGTGCTGAGAATTGATGAGCTCTATGTCTATTCCAATTGTCAACCCCAACATGCACATGCATTAACCATATCTATCTGGAGCTCAGCAGTAAAAGACAACTGTTGAGTTTGGTCTTCCAGAGCAATTTTGAAAAGATTTTATGAAAGTAGACCCTCGGCACAAAATCATAAACATAATTCAGGCCAACAGATCAACAGTTGTAGGTATGAGGGTGAGTTGAAAAAACTTCAGCAGTCAGAAATCTAGGCTGTCTCACCCCATAGTTGAGCTGCAGTTACACTCTAATTTAAGAAAAAAACAAAAACTTTGGTGCACTTAGAGGCAAGCTGTGGAAAAATTGTAAACAGTGCTGAGATCCTGTCTTCACTTCTGTACAGAGCACAGATGTATCCACAAACTAAAAGTTGAATGGCATTTGTAGGTGAAGCCATGATGGCACAGTGAGTCCTTAAAAAAGTGGATTTTCAGGATTTTTCAACATCTGACCCTATTGACTTGACTGGGGTTTTTGTGGCATAGTTTATTGTCACCTATTACATCGCGAGGATAACTCGAAACCCAGAAGAGTTAATAGCACCCTACTTGAGATCAAGCTGCACGCCTTGATAAAATATTTTATATCAAATTGTGGCGGTGCACGCAGCGGCTTCTGTCATCTTACCTTCAGTCAGTGCTTGGGGTTTTTCTTTTGGGGTGTAGTTTTTCGCCTATTACGTTGCCATGGCAACAAAAGTAGGCATTTTCTCGAGATTGGTCGGAGCTCGTGCCGTTAGCTCCTCACATACGTCATTTAACCAGGATGCACTGTAAATTAAACAACAAATTTTCATTTGAATTAATATAAACTAAACTGCCTACAATATTTTTACCGCATTGCTTTGTTTAAGTGAAATAAATCTATTTCAAATGAAGTCTATTTTCACAACTGGTCATGTCGCATTAAGATTTGTGAATTCTTACAAGGTATTTAGAACTAAAAGTTAGACTGTTGTGCATCAGACAATGTTTATCTGCCGTTTAAAAGAATTTCCCAGATGCTCTTTAAATTTGGTTATTTTTCTAAATATGTCGGAACCATGTCTGACTGAGCATTGTGTCTAAAATTAGCTTCCACTTCAGCGCTGGTATTTCACCTGGATAAACAACTACTGTGCAAATTCACATGGAGAAGAAAAGTGATGTTAGACTCTCAAAGGGCCTTTCAACATGTACAAGAAAGAACAGAGTTTCAATATGATGAAACAACCGAACAGCATAATAATGTGCGCGGTAAAAATGACCACAAAGACCTCAGAGGAAAAGACGAAAAAGGTTTTGAATGTGCACCGTCATTAGTCGAAATGTCAAAACAACTAACTCTGCATGGTGTCGGCCATATGTGCTGGAGTCATAAGCACCAGCTGTAATGCTTTCACTACATACAGTATGCTGTGCCACAGCTCTTCAAACAACTTCCACGCTAATATTTAAGCCAGAGTGATTGATGGCACCTGAATGGAGAGGCTTTAAGACATCGGTGTTCAGTCTCCCAGCATCATCAGCTAAAAGCAGCCTCATTTATTCTGCAAAGCTGTTCGTACGCATGAGCGTACCATATGGCAGTTGGCCGCGAATATTTCCTAATCATTTACGGTGATGTTTGATTTGTTCCATATCCATGAGCGAGGGACACACAGACATGAGGCACATCTGTACAAACTTTATGTTTCTTCCTAGACAAAAGCATACGCATACTCATTGTAAAATTCATGTGAAGCTCATAATCATTCATTTTCCAATGACGAACATCTCAGTCTTTGAAATATTCATTTCACTATGTTCTTTATGTTGGGTGATTTCCTCCATTGTATCGATTGTATCTGTTATCAGCCGTCGCTTTACCTGCTTGTGGGAAACAAACAAAATGGAAAGTCATTAAATAAACTTGCGCCGGGCTGTTCGACATGCTACGCTAGAGTGTCCTCAACAGCTAAGCACCAAAGGATGTTGCTGATGATGATGTTTGCGTGATTATTTGTGTGAAAGCTGTAGAGTACCTGCACATTCATATAGTGTGGATGTCTGCATATTGAGATTTAGCTGCTATATAAAGCACATAACTACCTGACTAATGACTTTCCTGCTGTTTAAGCCCCCACCTTGTTTTCGGACAAATCGTTCGCAGTCGGCACAAGCACATTGGCTAAACAAGTCAGCAGCTAAATGGCTGTAAATCAGCTTTTTTCACTGCATTGTGCAGAGTGTCATGAGAGCTGCTTATGCTTTCACAAACGCAAAGGTGCTTCAAAACCCAAAAAGTGGCAGGACAAAAAGGAAACAGGTAAAAAAGAAATGGCTCTTTCACTTTAAGTGTCAATGAGTTCCAAGTTCAACAAGGGCTTACCAGGCATTTTGATGAACATATTGAACTTGATCTATATGTTTTGTTGCTGAATATGAACAAAGGGCGGGTATGAGGATGTGATGAAAAATGAGTGAAAAGATATTATAAACGTGACAGAGCCTCGAAGAAGAGGAGCATCAAGAAAAAATTTGATGGTAACGGGGGGATTTGACAACTAAAGCCTTTTTAAACTGACTGGTGTTCATACCACTCACTCTAACCAGTTAGGCCAGAAAAACAGCATAAAAGTTTTATGCTTTCACATTCTTTCGTAATTAAACCTAGAGAAAGTCAAGCTGACAGTGAAGTTTGATTAAAGATGGCTTGACAGTTACAATGACTTCATTTGAATTGGTTTTTCACCTCAACAACTTGTTGAGTTTGGGAGTTGCACATGCAGTTCTTGCCTGTTCTGTGTAGAACTGACCACTGACCCAACATACAGGTTTTTATTTCAATTGTGAGAGGAAGCCAGATTGGGTTTGTTTCTGCCCAATTGGGCTGGTTTTGAACAAACAGCTTTAGGTGGATTGTTGAAATCTCGGCTGCTTTTAACATTTGATGATGTAGTTTACAGAAAGTGTTCAGAAAAAAATTCATTCAAAATAGTTGTCACTGTATGGCAGAGAAGCAGAAAACACTTAATAAAATGTAGTCTTACTTTACTGCATTTTATCTCATTAGTTTAGAGAAACATCTGGAGTCTGTTGAATGTGGCATCAATGATTAGCCATTATTTAATCAAGCATCACTATGTATTAGTATTGTAAAGCACAAATCCCAGACATCATAGTGAACTGGTACTATTTTCTTACATCACAATTTAAAAAGACAGTGTGCTACAAAAAACTCAAGTTTCATGTTCAAAGAATCCTTTGCAGTCCCAGATCTGGTTCTGTCAAAACATCACAAAGACCATAAAAACATCAAAAGTCTATTTTGTCGCTGTTTCTGTGAGTTTCATTCGACTTTGAGATTTGGGATGTTGGCTCAGTTTTGCATTGGAAGCTTGTCGGTCAGATCTGGGAGTTTTTACCGGAGAAGTAAGTACAAACAAAGACAGAACATTAAACTCCACAAAGAGAATCTGCAACTCAAAACTGTTTTAGACTTAGACTTGTACTTTATTGATCCCTTGGGAAGACTCCCACAGGAAATTAAAGAAAGATACAATCCATCGTTCCCTGCCGAAACCCGGGATCGAACCAGGGACCTTCAGATCTTCAGTCTAACGCTCTCCCAACTGAGCTATTTCGGCACAGATTTACTCTCTTTGGCAGCAATGGTGTCCAACGTCAGTCCTCAAGGCCTGCATTGCTTAGTTTTTTCATAACTGCAGCACATCTGAACCAGTAAACGTTTGTCAGCAGATTACTACAGAACCATTTCATTCTCAGGAGCCATTTGGATCATTTGTTCACACACTGATAGTGTAAGTAAGGGTAATTGTTACTGCAGCCTGCAATGTTTGGGTGACAGACGGACTTAGCAGGGGTTGGAACCATCAACCCTCCAGTTACAAGATCTGACTCCTGAACTACTTCGAGTTTTGCAAATCGTAAGGATAAACTTTAAATCAGTCAAATGTACATTGGGTAATGATAATGCTCATTTCCTTTACAGAAAAAAACTATTTCTCTGGAAAAATATCAATCTGTAACATGAAACTGTTTAAGAGAAACCTGAAGGTACAATTTCCTTCCAACTGCGATTGGTGTTCATGAGCGAAATAATATTTATTTACTTCAGCTGTTACATCACTGAGGTTACGTTGATGTTTGCCTGCCACGTTTCTGAAGCAGAAAATGAAAAGTTTACCGCTTAATGCTCCTTCTAGTTAGAAACTCCCATAGGATTGCCTGCGGCTCTGTTTCTCAAACTTATATGAGCGAGTGGGTTTATCTCCAATTGTACTTAGCTCAGCTCAGCTCTGCAAGCTTTACTTTAAATGATTCACACACGACTCTGTTTATTTAACATATACACGAAAATAGAAAACTGAAAAGAAAAGTTTGGCTTCCCTTTTCTAAAGTTGTGTGGAAAGGAAAGCGACTGTCATTCTTCTGGTTTTATGCCTTTCTCTACTTGCAAGTCAAATTACCCTGCACAGTGTTGTCAGTCCCTTGCCTGGAAGCGTGTTAATAGACAGCGTAACTAAGTGTTTTAATTCAAAGTGCACTCATATTTAATTAAGCGTATGGTAATAGCTCTGTCAGGAGAGAAACTTTTATACCTTCTGACGCTGGTCTTTTGTTTTTGCCCGACTGCCACCTGCGGTGCTGTGTGGATTGTTTCAGGATAGCTTCATTTGCATGGCCCTCAGTTAAATTTTAATTCAGAAAGCCCCACATGAAGGTATGCTAATCACAATTACAGGTTTAAATTTAAAAGACTCCCCCTTTGATGTTTCAGAGCGCCAGGCTCGCAGAATGTGACAACTTATTAAATCAAGAATTTCAGAGGACAGACTTGATGAACTTTGACCTAGGATATAGAAAACTGCAGGGGCCACATCATTGATTTATCACAAAGATTTAGCCCACATGATACTTTGTGAATTGTAAAATTCGTGCTGTGGAAGTGAACAGTCAGCAATTCATGCCAAGGGCTCTACTTCGACTATAAAAGTTGGGACTTGGATATATTGATAATATCTTCAATATATTAGATGAAATATTGGAGCTCAAGCCAATAATCTTCTGACATGCGCCACACAAATAAACTTGATTGATAAACTCTGGATCCAACATCAACTGGATTGCTTCCTGAATATGTTTGAAACTTCTATTCTATTTCTGGAAGTACAAGAAAATGTTAAATAATTTCTGACTAGGACATTAACGCTATAAATGGAAAAAATCCAACAATATGGTCCAGTAAAACCTGGACTGAAACTTTTACATGTCATTCAAAACTGAACTGGCAATCTGGAAAATTTTTACTCTACTTTTGAAAACAACGAAATCAAAGTACTTTCAATTAAATAAACACACTTTCACCTCGGGACCTCTTATGAACCCAAAAATAATAATTATGCATGCAGTGTTTATAGCTTCCTCCCCCCTCAGGCCAGGTTTTGCAAGGTCAGGGGTCATCAATGTTTAATGACTGGAAAAGTCAAATTTCTGTTGCAGAAACACAACAAACAACCACGTGCAGTCGGAGCTGGATTTGAACTCAGTGCAAAGATTCCAATTAAAAAGCATAAAAATCTGGGTGGCACTTTAACTATTTGCTGTCAACCACAACCATATGTCACCAAGTGTGTCTCTGTTTGGTTGCGTAGCTGTAAAATAAATGAAATGGGCAACAATCAATCCTTTGGAAAGTACCTTTCTTTCAGCCGACTGCTGAATAATGAGATCTGCCTTTTTACAGTCCAAGAAGAGCCTTGTCGGAAAGCCATTCAGTTTTAGTGCCTTCATCAAATATTCAATCTTCATCTACTGTTCAGGCTTATTCGTGATCATCATCATAAACAGTCCCGAATCCTAATGAATCCTCCTGATCAATGCGAATCATCGATTCATTGTCGTTCCAAGACTTTTGTGAATAACTTTCTCACGAAAGGAGAAAACCTTCCAGAAGATATTTTACTGTGGTAATAACTGCAATTTATTGCCTCATTATGTTTTCAGTGTAAGCGTAAATAATACAATCTTGGGTGAGGACCTATTCAAAATGAGAAGATCAGCTCGAGAGACGAGGAGAATTCGGAAAAAAACTGAACCATGTAGAGAATTCAGGCACAGTTTAAGTGTGGTTCACTCAAACTGAACCACACTGAGGAAGTTCCAGTACAAATAAAAATAAAAAAATAAAGAGAACTTGGCTTTTCTAAAGCCTTGAAACCTCTGTTCACAACATGATATGGGCTTGAAAGGTCTTAACTGGAGGTAGAACTGAATAAGTAGTTTTTTGTTGTTGTTTTTTTTAGGAGAGTATGGCAAAAAAAAATGTGTGAAGAAGACTTGTTATAAAATGTGTGCATAAAAGTACCAGAGATGAGATTGACAGAGAAAATCCTCTCTTAATAAATCGGTGAGGCAGAAATAAAATAAAATCTGCCTGAATCAGAAGCAAATTTGGCCAGGTCATGTAAATGAGAGTGGATATCTCTGTGGCTCTGGTCCTAATGACATAAAACAACAAAACTAAGTAGGTCATTTCCATAATGACTGAGAAGAAGCAGCAAGCTCTACTCTGCAGATAAACCACTACTTCAGCTAAAAGTCAATGCACTCACAGGCCACTTTACAAGGTACACCATTTCAATTGATATTATTATTATCATTACTACTAATAATAATAATCTAAGTATAAATCTAAGTATAAATAAATAATAACAAGTGCATCAGCTTATTATATGGCACAAATTCAATGCATTTGGAGATATTTGGGTAAGACGTCTTGCTGGAGTTTAAAAAAAAAAGCTGAAATAATATGAACAAAAAATATTTAAGGAGTGTATTAGATCCAGTGATGTCAAAACTGCTTATGTGCTACATTTTAACAAGAAAAACAGAGAGAAAGAGTTTTGTGGACACAATACATATAAAAATAACTGTTGGTATGCCTCTGTTAAAGGTGTTTTGTATTTTCCAGGTGCATAGTGTCACTTTGTAGCATAAGCAACTATGTAAAATTATGTTGTAATTCAAATGCTGTATATGTCAAATATGAAATTTGACTGCGCAATTTAACACCTTGAAATTGGGTCTCTGTCTCTTTAAGAAGCTCCTGCTCTTTCTGAAACTCCGCCTTCAGGAAATTCTGACATTTCTTCTCTATTAACATTGTTAAACAATGTTTTTACCAGCGTTGCATTGAAAAGTAGCTCTGATAATGAAGTCTGCAGATGTGCAGGTGTTTGCTAATTGCTGCTGGCTCGTCTGGAGGAACTGAGTGGGGGACTGGAGGAGCAGGTTGCTCTGTGAGGTGTTGTACAACTGAATGGTTGCCACAGGCGATATAGGATTTCTGAAACATGCATGAAAGAATCAAAGCAACGCATCAGGTATGTTTTTGATGAGAACATGACAAGATGCAAAGCACAAAAAAAAATAATTTTAAAAAATATGGCCCCTTTAACAAAAAACCCAATATAGATCACTGAAATAATTTGGAACTACCAAGAGAAGTTAATTTAACAGAAAATTAACCAATGAAAATCAGACATTGCTGCTGAACTGTGGTTCAACAGAGTCCATCTAACAAAGTGAACACATGGATAAAAAAGACTGCACCTCTTTAAGCCATTCTTGACTTTGCCCTTTCCACAGCTGCAGCAATACCTTCAAAAGTTTAAAACAATTGGAACAAGGTTGGACCGAGACCCAAGAATAACTTGACATCGCACACAGCGAGGAGGACAGCAAGCCAGGTGAAAATCCAAAGTTTGCTGTTAGGTAGCAAAGGTTTAGGTACAAACAATCCCCCTGTGGCTTTGGCTGCACACGGTCACAATTCTTTCATCTTGTTTCACTGTCACTAGGTAACCGCAAGACTCAGATTTCATAAAACCTCAGGAGGCAGGTGTCACAAGGGGTTCAGTGATAGACGAAGCTAAAAATAAGTGGGACTAAAAAAAAAAGGCTCTCCTCATTAGCCTTTGCTACTCTCCTGTAAGTACATCCTAAGCAGGAACAAGATGGAATAAAAGAACAAAATGGCAGGCCTTCCATCATCCTTTGAATTCTGTCTTGAGCAACAGAGCTGCCTTTAATACTTCCCTGCGTGAAGTTTCCCGAACCCCAGTGTTTCAGTTCGGTCTGTGCTGATGGCTCTCGTCCCTTTGTTTCGTCTCGTGTCACTGTGACAGCTGGACGTTTCATCCCAGCCCTGAACTCACACTGATGCCCGACTTTCTTTGATTTCTTGCCTTGTTGTGAGATGCGTTCTCTTGTGAGAACACATGTCCCATAGCACTGGGTTCAAGTTTCTCACAAAGCGCCACCCACAGACATGTAGGGCAGGTTCAGTGAGAATCTTTGAATACCAGAAGCGATCAAAAGCATGTTTACAGTTCAAAGCTCTCTGGAACTCATGCATGTTTTAATTAGGCCTGTCGCGATAAACGATAAATCAATTAATCGGACAATAAATTAAAACTATCGACCTCATTTCAATTATCATCTATATCGTTTCTTCCTGCCTTTTTCTCTTACTGTTGATGACACTGAATGAAAAAAGGCTAAACTCCGGTGCTCTCCACTGACCCTCCCTTCCTTATTTCCTTAGTGTAATGCCCAGTGCGTG